GAAGCTGTGGGAGCTACAGCCTCTGGCAGTGCCACAGGGACAGAGCTATCCGAGCCCTTTGAAGTTCACAGCTTGCTACAGATGCCCTGGATGTTGGACATGGAACTACAGGACTTAATGTAGCCCTGCTGGATTTTGGACTTGCTTTGGGCCCTTCCTGTCTCCCTAGTTATACCTTTTGGAGTATAACGTTTACCTGCGCCGCTGTATTCTAAAAGTGTTTAGCTTTGTTTTCATTTGTACAGGGGTTCACAGCTAAAAGTTTGTCTTAAATCTCAGAGGCAACTTTGGGCTTGGACTTTTCAGCAAATACCAAAACTGTTGGGACTTTGGCAACTCTCAGAGATGGACTAAATGCATTTTTTTTTTTTTAATTTGAGACAGGGTCTTGCTATGTAGTTCAGGCTGACCTTGAAGTTACTATGTAGCACAGCCTGGCCTCAAGATCACAGTGATTCTCCTGCCTAAGCCTCCTGAGTAGTAGGATTACAGGCGTGCGCCACCACGCCCAACTAAATGCCTTTTCTATAAAGGAATGAAAATGAGTCTTTTGGGGGACAGAGGTAGAATTTTATGGCTTTTGTCCAGATGTCTCCTCAAGCTCATAGGTGAGGCTTTTGGGAGGTGGCTGGATCTAGGGTGTGATATTGGGATTAATGGTATGTAATACTAAATTAGTCCACTGATTGGTCTGGCATAGTTCTGGCTGTGGATAATGGGAAGGCCTAACTGGATGTGTGTGGTATAACCCAAAAGGCTGGTAAAGGGATAAAAAGGAAAGGTAGGCTTGCTTTGCTGCTGCTTCTTGCAGCCTCCTGCCCACCACACCATGGACTGTTTCTCCTCTTCCATGACCCTCTGCCATGTGCCACTCTGCCTTGGAGCCAGCTGACTATGGAGCAAAACCTCTACAAACTGTGAGCCAGAATAAACCTTTCCACCTTTAACTTGTGGGTGTTGAGTATTTTTTCTCAACAATGAGAAAGTAACTGAGTCAGTCTTTAGTGCTATTTTTTTCTATTTTTAAACTCCTTTTCTTCCTTTTTCGGAATATTTCCTCAATGATTTCCTTTTAACTATATCTTCAATTTTGTTATTACATTAAAATTTTTTTTAAATTTCTAGGACCTTATATTCTGCATTTCCTTTTTTCTTTTTATTTTATCCTTTTAATTTCTGTATTACCTTTTGTAAAAGATGAGAATCTCACTACATGGTCCTGACTGACCATAAACTCCCGGGTTTAAATGATCCTCTTACCTCAGTCTCCTAAGTAGCTGGGACAATGGCGCCCACTGTACCTCATCTTCTGTGTGTGCTGAATCCTACAGCTAGCTGCTTCAGTCTCCTGAGACTGCTCTTCCCTCCCGCGCCTGCACCCTTCATCGCTCCCTGTCAGTTTGGGGCCACCTTGTCCTCCAAGGTCTGCTGACCCTGGCTGCCTGTTGCCTGGGCAACAGAGGGCAGTCCGGGAAGCAGCTGGCAGCAGTGTACCTAGCGAGATGCTTCTCCTGCACACCTCCTGCTTAGCCTGGTGGCTGGGTCCCCTACCTGAGTCACCTCCCTCAGGAGTGAGGACGGGACTACAGCCTCACTGGGCTGGCCAGGAGGGGCTCTGACATCCAGCCTGCGGATCCCCGGCCCTTGGTTTGCCCGGCACCCATGCAGTCTTCCACCATTTTGGACACGCTTCTGCTGCAGCCCAGAGGGTGACCCACACGGGGGCCTTAAGGACCAAGGTTGCTCGGACATTCAAGTGCTTGTTCTTGTCCCCAGGTGCTCATGAGCCTTTGATGCCGATGACGCTGGGGACACATGACACAGCGACCATGTGCCCAGACACATGCTTCACCCAGCCTGCGTCCCGTTCTGTGGTGACGCCCGCTATACAGGTCAAAGCAGACTGCCAATCTGGGCCCCTGGGGTCTTCATTTGAACTCAGTGATTCTCTTGACTGAAGTTTGAAGGCCGCTAGGATTAGGCAGAATCACACTTTCTATAATATTCTGTGAGGTGGAAGTGTCCTGAATCATTATCAGATACAGTATCTCAAGTCTGAGGTCTTTCCTAACCATGTCTGTGGCTTCAGGAAAGAAAAAAATTAAAATTCAGTTTAATAAAAAGCGTCCCTTGGTCCAGCAGGAGGAAAAATAGAAGGATAAATATGGCTGATCCATCTGTCAGACCTTAGGATGAGAAAAAGATCAATTTTGACAAAGCCATTGTCAAATTTGCCAATGTTGAAACTCAAAAACAGAAACTTGACTACTGTGTAATATTATTTATTCCAAAACACAGTATGTTGATATTTTTTTTTTTAAAAGGCAACAATAAAAATGCCCAACTTGCCAGGGATTTGGCCCAGTGGTTCCACCACTTGCCTCGCAAGCACAAGGTCCCAAGTTTGATTCCCAGTACCAAAAGAAAAAAAAATTTTAAATGCCCAACTTGCACGGTGGTATGAGGATTAAATCAGATGATGCGTGGTAGGCACTTAGGCCTAATGTCCACATAGCAGGTACCTAGTAAGTATGAGCTGTTATAGATCCTTGAACCAGGTCCTTGGCCTCCACAGACCTCAGTTTCCTTTTCTTTGCAATAGAGTAATAATAATAATTCTCCTCAGGGATGTCAATAAAGTTAAACAAGAAAACGTACAGAAAGGGTGTGGCACAAAAGAGTTTGGTAAATGCTTGTTTCTGCCTGCTGCAATTGCCTTTCATGTTGCTAAGTTGGACGTCTGCCCTTCAGAGAAGCAAAATTTGATTTGGGAGCATTTGACAGAGCTGAAATTTCCTGCCATCTCTCTGTCTCCTGTAGCCCAGAGATCTTCTTATTCAGAAATGGATGGACAGAGGAGAGAGTCCATGGAGAAAGCAGAGGCTGAGCCTGCCTCCACAGCGGCAGCAGCCTCGCATGGCCATCTGCCTTGCAGCCAGGCCAGTCTGAGCCTGCCCTGTCCCCCTCGAGCTTGGGTCTGGGACTGTGACCACAAGTTTGGCTGTGTTTTATTTAATAAGGAATCTCACTTTCCCAAAATAGGCAACAAGTGGAGACACTGCCCTGGTCACGCCACCGCCTCTCTGGAGCTGACTCACTTTCCCTGGCCTCACTTTCGCTTCCAAAAAAACGTGACCCGAGTTACTGGCTCCTTCTCCTGCAGCTCTGCCCTCGAGCTCTGTTCTTGACAAAGGGCAGAGCCCCGTGGAGGACATGACTTGTCCTTGCCTCTACCCAAGGGGTTTGCTGGGTGTGTCTGCCTCTCCGACACTCCTCCGCTGCCTCCTTCAGGGCTTTCCCTGCATCTTCCCCACTCTTCAAAGACAGGTTCTGACCCCTGATCCTTGACTCTCAGTGCTCCTTCTGAGTGGTCTCACCTTCTCCAAATGCTACCCACTGCCTTCATGGTCATGGCTCCACAACTCCACCCGGCTCAGACCTCTCTCCCCAAGCCCAGGGTGGTAGGGACTCCAACCTCCAGCTCTGACCTGGCTGTTTTCCAAACAATTGCATCTCTCCACATCCAAAGCTGACTCACCTTTCTGCCTGGTACATTCTGTCTTCTTTGGGGACCCAACCAGCTCCCCAAGGATTACTGTCAACTTCTCCCGCTGCTCGCATAGGTAAACCACTGCTTCTACTAATTTAATCTCCCCAATACACCCTGGTTTGTTACCCTCCTCTTGATCTCTAAGTCATCTCTTTCTCCCCCATCTACCAAAGACCTACCAAAATCAAAGATCTGGGATGTGAGATCTCAATCCCTCACCCAACACCCTTCATTATCCCCTCAATGGCCAAACAGCTTCTCAAACACCAAACTGGCTGCATGAAGTTCACCTTTCAATCCCGTATGAATGCAAACCTCTAGGCCCTGCCCATGAATAGTTGGATTTAGTCAAACCAATTTGGCACTTAGGAACCTGAGTTCCTCAAAAGTTTCTAGCTGATTCTGATGCATACTCAGGATTGAGAACCACTGGCTCTTAGGAGGAAACCCACTCTCCAAAGAGACTCCCTGCACTATCTGATTTATTTTATGTCAACTCTTCGTCTCATCTGTAACCAGTGTCTACTTTGCACCGGACCCTCCTTTAATACCAGAAAGTCTGTAGATAACTGCTCACCCTGCCCTGGCCCTGCCCTCTCTACTGGTCCTCTCCTCTGTCTTTTTGCTGTGCATCCATGGGGCAGTACAGTGTTGAGGGTAAGGACTCTGAGGACCACCTCCATGGATTCTTCTCCTAGTTCTCATGCTCCCCTGCCTGACGCTCCTCCCTGTTCCACACAACCTGCCATTACTGACAGCTACATCTGCCCTCCTGTGCTCTGCAAGATCAGCCCTCTTGTTTCCTCCTACACAAAATTTCTGTGATCCTGCCTCTTTGCCTTCCCTCTTGCTGTACTCTATGTGGCTACCTTCTATCTTATTCTGAGTCTCCGCCCAAGGTCAAAATCTCCTTTGTCTCATGAAGCCCTCTTTGGTCATCTCACCCATAGTGAACTTTCCCTCTTCTCACTTTCTGTCCTTATTACTCATTTCATCCTTTAGTCATACAACCAATATTTCTTTAACAAGTCTGGGCTAGGCATTGGATACAGTAATGACAAAGAGAAAAATAGGCCTATTTTACAGGGCACTTCTCGTCCTATGGAATTGGATGTGTGCATATTGTTCCTGTAATTTATCTCCACTCAGCGCCTGTTGTCCCTATTTGCATTGAGTGCACTGAGAAGAAAACCAACATGTAGGTTGCTTGGCACCCCTGGTGGCCAACACAGTGTCTTGTTTATCCCAAGGATTCAGCGAATGCTCATTGACAGCAGGTCCTTGGCCTCACCTGGAGTGATGGTGACTCAGGGGTGGCAGCCTGTGCAATTGACTGTTGTCACCACACCTCTTATCCATCAGGCACTAATTGACGCCCTGCTACATGCTGGCCACCTGGCTGCCACCCATAGCCCGGAGCAGGGTCTTGTCCCAGCTCAGCAGTTCTCACCTGGTCTTACTGGCTCTGTTCCACACGGCAAGCAGAAGACGTTTCTGATCATCCTCCTCTGGCACAGGGCTGTGAAGCAAAGCAGACAATCAAAAGTGTCCAGAGAGCTGAGCTCTGGGCCCGATCCCTGGAATCAGTTGTGATTGCAAAACTTTGGAAATAACCTAAACAGGTAGATAAATAAACTGTAGTATAAATAGCATAGGAGACAAGTACTTACATGGGATACAGAGTTCAAATCACATTAAGGACGATAAGGCAGTCACAACACACCATTATAAAACAGTGCCATCCTGTAAACACACACAGGTATACAAACCCACACAAAGGAGAGGATGTGTCAAGGCATTCAGCAAAGTGTATCTGTCTGAGGAGCACAGCCATGGGCATTTCCTATTTTCACTGCTCATCTATATTATTAATTTTCAAAGAAAGACTACAAGCACATGCCTTTCCCATAGTCCTCACAGCCTTCCAAGGCACGTACTATTATTAGCCCCATTTTATAAATGAGGAGGCTGAGGGAAGACAGCGAGTTTAAATAAAAAGGAAGAGACAGAGGTAAAACATGCCTCCCCTTGAGAAACTTCCACTAAAGGTGAGAGTTTGTCCCCAGGCACAATAGGAAACTGCCTACTCTTCAGGCTTGGCATTGTGGTATGAGAACCAGCCAAGTGATAACTTATCATTGTGGACTTGACCACTGGGTCCAGGGCCAAGGATGCAAGGACACAAGGGAATGAGAAAACAAAGACGTCCTTTAGAAGTCACTGTTTCTCTGCTTAGATCTAGTTCTAGATCTGGCAAACAGAGCTGCTTCCAGATAAACACTCCCACCCTCTTCTCTCAAGGGCCCATGGCTCCAGACTCTTACAAGAAGAAGTGCTCATGAAATGCTGGGTCTCTGCAGTCTGGAATGGTCTGGGTCTTCTGAGAGCGTATTCGATTACTTTCAGGGATCAAAGAAATCTTGAAGTGAAGAGAAAAGAAGCATTAGCTGATCTCATAGCCACAGAACCACCAAATCCAGCAGCTACCTCTGCACATCTCTGGTCTGAAGGGTTCCCAGTATCCTTCAAACCAGCCTCCACAAAGGATGGAGTTAGAGCAGATGGAAAAGATCTTGGGAAAGAACAAAGAGCCCTGGGACAGAGGCGTTGGAATCAGATACCAAGACAGGCCTCATGGTGGCTGCTACCAAAAAGGCAGTTACAAGCTCAACCAGAGATAGGGTACAACTGTATCTTCTCTGCTCTTTTTCCAAGCAAGGGAGCTTCCCTCAAAGCCAGAAGGGTCTTCTCTTCCTTTCTCTTCCCCTCTCCTCTCCTCTCCTCTCTTCTCTTCTGTTTCCAGCAGCCCTGAGCACTCCCTTCCCTAGACAGCTGGCCCCCAGCAAGGCCCAAGCCCATGCTCTCCTTGAAATACTGTTCTTCTGCCTCAGGAGCCCAGCCATGTTCCTAATCAAGTCCTTCCCCAGGACCATGAGCATCAGAGGGCTTTAGGAAGAATGAAGGTGACCCTTAAAATGCCAGCCCTAGGGACCTAGCACGGGGCCTAATAAATGCCCATTGACCCAATGAATGAGGTAGTAGCCATGACCTCAAGTGGCCCCAAACCGAAAGGTATGCTGGGACTTTGGGACTCTACCAGAAATATGGCCCCTCAAATACCCACCCTACTTCCAGCCCCATCATATACCTTCACATAGGGATCACAGACTCCGGGCTCTCTGCTCATCAGGCCTTTGCCTTCAATGACTGCAAGAAAATTAAAACGTTGGATGGGAACATACACAGACTTGCACTAATTAAAAGATCTTAAAAGAAATACAACACACACCTTTGAGTAGAAGGATGATGACCTTTATTCCCTCCGGGCCCTAGTCTGTGTAACAAGCATGGCTAATATTAAGCCCTCTGTGGTCTAGTCCATTGCCACTGCTGCCCATGCTCTGGCAGCTACTTACCATGGCATTATGGAGTGCATTGCATTCTCTGGATCTTACAGCTGGAAAGAAGTTTAAAATGTACAGAGTCCACCACCTCATTGAAGGAGGAAAATGAGACCCAAAGAAGTAAGAGATTTGCCCCCAAACTTAAGCAATGAGAATGAGAGCTGGATTTAGAACTCATGTCTCTTGACTGCCAGTCCAGTGTTATTCTACAGTAGAAGACTGGCTGCTGCAAACACAGGTTAAGGGGTGAGGGTCCAGTTGGAGAACATGCCCTGCACGGTGATCTGGGAGTGCAGTAACAGAATAGCACCATGGTCACAGCTTGGGTTCCAGAGCCAGGCAGATCTGGGCACAAGTCCCAGCAGGACCACTTACTAACCACATGCACTAGAGCAAGATGCTTTGTCATTTTTCCACAGGTTACGGATAATAATTGCACTTCACATGATAGTTGTGCCCCTTAAATGTATCTAAAGTGCTTAATAGAACACCTGACAAATAAGTTAATGCTCCACCAATGCTTGCTAAAGGATAAATAAAGGCAAAGGATAGGTATGGGGTAAGTGTAGGTCTGGTCACACAGGCAAGAATGGTCCATCTGCCTGAGGATCACAGAAATCAGAGCTTTCTTCTGTTTCCTTTTGTGTTTGGTTTTGATTGAGCCCTAGGGTTTGGCTTGGACACAGCCCCCAGCAGCCTGGGGCATGAGGCATGGGAAGCCAAAGGAAGAAGCAGGGACAGGCTGGAAGGGATGAAGGGCCTGAGACTGGGGTGAAGCCAAAGCAAACTGTGCAGGACAAATGGAGTGGTGGAGGCCAAGATGCATTTTGCAAAAACTGTTTGCACAGCTGGAGTCCGACGCTGGCAGGCAAAGAACACCTCTCTTCTGGTCCTTGGGAACTTCACCTTGGGCCCCTCTAGGCCAGGACCAAGGGACCCCAGGCGCTTACTGGCTCACTCTACCCTGTATCCTAGTTACTGTTCCTGTGTGGATCTGTCCCCTGCAGGGCATGGTTCTCGAGAGCAGGATCCAAATCTAATGAATCCTGGTCTCCCTGGGTACCAATGACAGTAAGGCAGACCCGCCCCTTGCCCCAGCTGCACCCCACACTGGGGTACACAGACCAGACCCAGGGAAGCACGGTGTATCCAGGCTGTGATGAGGAGGAAGCAACAAACTCAGCCAGGGAAGGTAGGTCAGGAGGGGCGACTCCCGGAGGGAAAAATAATAAGCAAAATGAGCCTTCCTTCCTGAGTCTTAATTAAGGATAATTAAGATAGGCACACTTCTAGCAAAAGCAGAGGGACAGAGAGGTATTTTCCAAAAGGAGTTTAATGAAGCAAAGTTGTCCCAGACACTGGTGAGGTCAAAGGTCCAGCGTGGTGCATTCATAGGGGTGCAAGTGGCTAGATGGAAGAGGGGGTGAAGTACCTTGAACAGCAAGAGCCAGGTAAGCTAAAGAGCCAGGCAGGGTTTCTGGACCGTACAGAAGGAGGCAGGCAGTGGGGGCCACAGCAGAAGCTTGGTAACTATTTATGTGCTGGATACAAGGAAGAAGAAATGGATCAATAAAGCATAAAATCCTCCCATGCTGTACCCCAGTCATCCTGGACAGCTCTTCAAAGGCACTGTGCCCTCTCTGGACCTTGGGCCTTTGCACTTGCGGTTTCCTCTGCATGAAGTGCCCAGAACAGCTCTCTTGCTCCCATCTGCGTGGCACAAGCCTATTCCTCCTTCAGGGTGTAGTGGTGTGGACATTACTACCTTTTCCAAGACTTCTTTGGGATCCCACCAGCACAACCTAGACAAAGCTGGGTGGCTCTTCCTTGGTGTCCCCAGATCCTAGCACAAAGTCAATGCTCAATCACTATTTTTGGAATTTATAGCTTTCTAGTTTATTTAGCAGGCACTTATACAGGGTTTACCAGGTTCTGGGTTCTGTTCCAAGCATGCTACCAATATTAAATCATTTAACCCTTGTAATAATCCATAAGATAGCTACAATTAGCACCGCCACTTGACACTTAGGAAAACTGAGTTTGTTCAAGGTCACTCAGCAAGTAAAGTATCAGAGTCAGGATGCAGATCCTAGTGGTCTAGGTCCAAAGACTATGACTTTAACCACATACTGTCTATCAGTGAACGAATAAGAAAAAGAGGCAGGAGGGGAAAAGATGGAAAAAAGCCGAGAGGGAGGACAGGAAGGCTTTCTGTAGACTTGCTTTACAGGGGTTAAGGGCAATACTGAAGCCTACTAAGGACAAAAGCCAACCACATGGAGTTCAGACACAGGAGGCCCGGAACCGGGGCTGGGCTCATAGAAAGAGCCCCAAGTGAATACCCTCTGTTGTTAGTGGGCACACAGCAGGACACTGTACAAAGATGAGAAAAGACACCACAGCCATGGTTCCTGCCCTGGCTCCAGGAAGGAGGTAAGTGGCCCGCCCCAAGGGGGATGCATGTGGCCATACTCACTGTGCAGCAGAAGGACCCGGTCCCGGGCATCGATGGACAATTTCAGCTGACCTAAGGAAACAAGGAGAGACACGACTTCAGCCCAGCTCCTTGTTGGAAGAACACTGGAGGAATGGTGACAGGTTCTCACCATGTAGTTCAGGCTGGCCTTGAACTCACTGTGGAGCCCAGGTTGGCCTCAAACTCATGGTGAGCCTCCTGCTTCAGCTTCCCGAGTGCTGAGATTACAGGTGTGCCCCACCACACCCAGCCGCAGTCTCTGGTTGAAAGAGACCTCAGAAGCTCCCTGGCTCAGCCTCTTCTCCACAGCAGGAGTCCTTGGGCAGTGCCCTCAGCACAGTTCTCTAATCTAGTTGGTACCAGTCTGGTGATGGGGAGCTCACTCCTGCACCAGGCAGCCCTGAGAGCTCTCACTGACAGAGGCTGTTGTTAGCATTGGTAAAGGTGTAGGACGACAGCACTTGCACACTCTGCTGGAGGGAGAAGGAGGGTCTGTGCAGGGTAATTTCTGGCAGTATCAACTGGAGTTCAGACTCGCGTCTCTATCAACCTAGAAATCTGTATTCCGGGTCACTCTCAGAGATAGATACTCACTGAGGGTGCACAGAGGCTGGCACCACTGCAGGACAGAAAATAAGAAATGTCAAATAAGGGCCTGAAATACCCGCCAATATAAACATGGTGAAGTAAACCACCCAGAGCTGTGGCACGGCACAGGCTGGCTCCACTTGACCCGGCATGTGAATAACATTGAGGATTTTTTAAAAGGGACAAGCAAAGTGCAGAACAATAAACACATGCACATGTGCGTGTGTGTGTGCGTGTTCTGAAAGGACATCAAATTAAAAACAGTGGTTATCCCTAGGAAAGAAATTGGGAATTTAAAAGAGATGGTCAAGAGAAATTCCAATCTGTTCCTGTTCTTGTTATATTGTTTGGGAGGTTTTTGTGCTTATTGCGTTTTGTTTCTGTGGCAGGGGGGATTGATAACAAGGAGTTCTAGGGCACATCTCTCCAGCCCTTTTTATTTTTTATTTTGACACAAGTTCTCACTCAGTTGCCCAGCCTGGCTTCAAACTTGCGCTCCTCTTTCCTCAGCCTCCTGAGCAGCTGAGATTACAGGCATGCACCCCTACGCCCAGTTCTTACTATTTTAAGTATGCATATATTTAAGAACTATGCATTTCTATAATCAAAATAAAGAAAAATAAAAGAGAGGAAGGAAAAATGAGAAGGTAAGAGAAGCAGCAAAGCTGGAAAGCAGGTGAATAATGAAGGGCTAGGCCAGGCTCTTTTTCTCCCTGTTTTTATTTAAGGAAAAGAAAAACAAAACCAAACTTCAGGTCATACCATGGACACCCAAGGCCTCCAGCAGTGACAGAGAAGAGGGAAGCCACATTCTTCTCCCTCACTGACAGATCAAAAATTCCCTCAGAGCTGTGGGTGTAGCTCCATGGAAGCAGTTGCGTAGCAGGGCCCATCCCTGGGGAAAAATTCCCTCTCTGTCCAACAGACTCTACCTGAAACCTGGAGATGCTACTGCACTCCATCCACCCAGAGGCGCATGCAGGGGAGGCCGGGGAAGCCAGTGGACATTTGCACCTGCTCAGCCCTGACAACCCTGTCTCAATCACCTGGCTCAGCCATCACCTCTAGGGAGGGAGATCTTGCTTCCTTCAGCGGGAGTCCTTTCTCTTTTGCAATTGTTGGTTGTTCAATGCTCCATCTAATATGGAACCAGAAAGGGACGCTTGGTGACTCATTGACCTGATGGGGTTCGGCCAGCTCTGTGCTCTCTCTTCTAGATCCCCAATCCAAAGTCCTTCTTCATTCATCACCTTAACTGTTCACTGGGCTGCTGGCTGGAGCAAGGGCAGGCAGGGTTTGGAGAATGAAAAGAAGGGAAGCTCATTACTCTGCGTGAGTCCCCCAAACACTGCGACCTGGCGATCTCTTGATCCTCGAACTGTGAGTGGAAGCCACAGTCAGAAGCATTTCAGAGTCCAGCGAACCCTGGCCCAGCTCTAACCCACCAGAATCCGGGCTGCTCTCCAGGCCAGGATGCAGGTCTCGGGCCCAGGAGGCCTGTTCCAGTTCCAGCCCTCACTGCTCTCCTTTCTGTCAGGACTACAACATCCGCAGCTGTGAGGCAGAGCTAATGATAGGGTTACTGTACTCCCCAAGCTGGGCTCAGATAATGCTGGAGGGTCAGGAGGTTCTCCCATGAAAGGCTCTGTGAGAATCCACGCATTATTATCTCCAAGTCTGAGCAATTACCACTTTGGGACTCCTTAAACTGAGACACTTCCTGTATAAACTGCCTGCTCCAGAGTAGGGTGTAAGGGAGGTTTGGAAACAGACAAGGCCAGCAGTCACGGATCGGATCTCACCAACCCAACCGTGCTATGTTTAGCACGAAGGGTTTTGTTTTGTTTTGTTTTCTGAAACTACTACAAGTGCAAAGCTAGCTCTGGCCCAAACATGGTTAGATTTCTAAAGCCCTGCACCGCACACCTATCACCTAACAATGGCCCTTCACAGAAATGGACAAGTTTCCCAACACAAATGGTTAGTAATCCCCTTTGGCAGACACTACAAGGCACCTGCATGAGGCCCCAAGTGAGGGAGGCTGGATCTGAACACCCAGACGCCTGCTGTCAGGGGGCTTCCAGCCCAGTGGCTCAGACAAGGATGTACAAGGCCGAGGCCAGAGCTGAAGAGAGGACAGGCCTGACATGAAGCCTGACTTGGAATTCAGGAGTCTGCAAGCTCCCACAGCTCCCTGGAGCTTCCGCAGCAGCTGTGCCAAGCAGGGTCTCCTCAGGGAGTGCCTGGAGCTCCAGTGCTGTTACAGCAAAGACCCAGCCCTGCAGACCTATTTCCAGTCTCCCCAGCTTAGCCCTAGGCTCATGGATAAAGGTAAAATGAACAATGAGAGGCTTCCCTGGGACACGGCTGTCCCCTCTGCCTTCCTCATCCATCCATCCCATCAAATGCATGACACGCAAGGTCCCTCAGGTCATCTTTCCCAACTCCTTATTTGGTAGCCAGACCCATCACACTTGAGATGGAAGCTGGCTTGCTCTGGGCCCACAGTGTTCAGTAGTCTCAGAACCAGGATTGGAGGCCAGAACTTGGTCCTGAGCCCAGCATTCTTTCCTGCCCCTCAGCCTTCCAGAATCCGCAGCCCTCTACCGGGAACCTCCTCTGATGAGCTTCACCCTTCAAGGGCCAATGCAGCTCTCAGGTTCAAGAGCAGAGAGAAGCCAAGAGGGAGCGGAGAGGGCAGGACCCAATAAGTGTCTCCAAGTCTAGGAGAATAAAGCACCAGAAGTCAGGCTGAGTCCCTGGAATCCCTGGAATGCACCAGGAAGACAAAGGGAAGAGTGAGCTTCGTCTTAGTTACTTTTCTTGCTATTGTTATTGAGGCAAAATATCGGACACCCACAACTTAAATGAGGAGCGGGTTGATTTTGGCTTACAGTTTGTAAAGGTTTCAGTCCATAGTCAGCTGGCTCCAAGGCGGAGAGCAGCATGGCAGAGGAGAAACAACTCATGGTATGGCAGCAGGAAACAGAGGGCAATCAAGGGAGGAGGAAGGGAGAGGCACACTTCCAGGGCACAGCTCCAGGGAGCCACTCCTCTAACCAGGCTTCACCTCCCAAAGTCATCAGGGGACATCTAGGTATAAACTGTACGAGGCAACAAGCCCAAATTCTGCTAGGCACAGGCCTGAGGTGGGTGCGGACTCAATGGACATGGTACAAAGGGCATGGGAGTGGGCTAAAGAATTTCAATCTGGCAGATGGTCCTCAGTAGAGGACCACAGGGAGGTGAAGTCTGAATCTCAAGACATAGGAAAGGCACACTCAGAAAACAAGGCAAGATGTGGGCTGCTCCCTACTGTGTCCCTTAGGGGGCCCATGCAAATCTGAGGTGTGCAGAGAATACATCTAGAGAGATTTGCCTGGTTCACGTAAAACAGCAATCACCCTAAAACTCAATTCACCCCAAAAGCAGCTGCCCATTTAAGAACTGTTCCATGTTAAAAAGCCACAGGAAGGGAAATATGATGATAAAGGTACAAAGGGGGAGCCCAGTCTGTCACTGACATTCAGAGTCACCCTCTATTTGTGAAGGCCACCTGTACCCACGCCTTGCATGCAGGAGGAAGGGCAGAAAGAGCTGCTGCCCAGCACTACCCACCCTGGTTCTCAGCCACCTGGTCCACACAGCTGCCCTGGTCCAGGCTCAGATGCGGGTTCACCAGTTCCACTCTCTGCCTTCTAAGGGAGAAGCAGTAGGTGTGTCGGGCAACTGGAAGCCATATAGCTCTTGGGTCAGAGCCCTGGAGAATTTCAAGCATTTGTTGTATAGAAAAGGGAAGATCTTGAGATCCATGTAGAGAGATGACTCTGGCTTGTGATGGTGCCCGCAGAAGGAGACTCAAAGAGCCCAAGGGAACAGGAGCCACCATGCTGGGAAAAAAGGTAGTGGGGCCACTCAAGCCCCTTTGCTGGACACACAGCTTCCTGTGCAACCTGTATTAATGTGGCCTCCCAAGCTAATTTCCTTCCAGAAAGATTACTCTGGCCAGCAAAAGTTTTCTAGTCTACTCAGCATAAACTGATAAAATTAGTATTCAGTTCTCCTCCTTGGGCAAGCCAGGAAATTAAAATTTCTGAATCTACCACAGTCAGCATCTTACCTTGGCTGAACCACACTGCCACCAAAGCTAGAAGTCCTGTGGGGCTCGGACCCAAATATCACACAGGCCTCACGTTTTCCCACCCTAGCACCCAGGGCCGCAGCCAACTACAAGGCTGGGTGTTAGGGACCTGACACTGCCATCACAGGCTGCATTTTCCTGGTGCTTCTTGGCTCTTAAAAAAAACCTCATGCTCTTATCTTTAGTTTCCCTTCCCCAAAGGTCACAGCAGTCTGGAGAGGTTAAACCTGTTTCTCCAGGACCAAACCCATAAAGGACAATCTGGTCTGTGATAGGTTAAAGGTAGCCCACTCCTCATAAATAAGCAATAGCCCAGCCCAAA